GGAGCTGGAGCTCGAAGCGTTCCGAGAGCACCACATCCGGAACATCACGGCCATGCTGTTCGCGAACCAGGGCCTGATCCAGCGCTACCTCGACGGCGAGCTCGACAAAGACGAAGACGAGCCGGCGGCGGAGCCTCGCGCTGGGGCGCCCAAACTGTCGGGGCAGCAGGCGAGGATCGCGGAAGAGATCCTGGAGTCTGTCGGCAAGGGGCTGTGGCAGCGGCAGGCGAGGGAGGACGCCTGGAAAGGGGAGGCCAGGGACGAAGCCGAGGACGACCCGTTCGAAAAGCCCGCCGCCTGGCGGCCCGCCTTCGCGGTCCTCGGCCCAGCCGGCAGCGGCAAGTCCACGGCCGTCCACCAGGCCATCCGGCAGGCCGCCGACCGCGGGGCGCGCGTGCTGCTGACCGCCCCGACCGGGCGACTGGCCGCCACGCTGCGGGAGCGGTTTCCGGGGCTGGAGGTACACCGTGCACGGGGCGTTCCTTGCCTACAAGCCTGTCCACGAGGCGCTGGAGGTCATGTGGCCCTACGACCTGATCGTCGTAGAGGAGGTGGGCCAACTGAGCCGGGAGCTTTTCGAGCGGCTCATCACTCAGTGGCGCGCGGCGGAGCGGATCCCGACCCTCATATTTGTCGGCGACTTCTACCAGCCGCCCGGCGGCAAGTCCAGAAGCGGCACCTCCACGAGATGATCCGCTGCAAGTGCCCGATCCTCCGGAAGAAGCTGGAGCTGCTGCGGACCGGCAAGCCCTCGCGGCAGCAGCTGAGAGCCATCCTCAAGAGACACAAGGCGCCCTCGCGCGGCCGAGCCGGCTACGTCACGAACGAGATCCCCACGCTGGACGACGTGACCCACATCCTGGCAGAGACGCCGGAGACGACATTCCTCACCGTCAGCCGCGGCGCCAGCGCCCGCTTGAACGGCCTCGCCACGCAGGCCCTCTTCGGCGACAGCGCTCCGCTCGCCGTTGTGCCGGCCGACCCCGAGAGCAACGAGGACAACTACGTCCGCGGCAAGCTCGTGGCCGAGACGCCGCTCGAGACGCCCCTCTTCGCGGGCGCGCGGGTGGTCCTGACCAAGAACCTCACCAAGACCGTCGGGTTCGTCAACGGCATGGGCGCCACCGTCCTGGGCATGGACAACGACAACGTGATGGTTCGAACGGACCAGGGCGCTCGCCTGGCGATCCACCCGTGGACGTCGGAGAACCACGTGGTCCACTACCCCCTGCGCTTGGGCTACGCGAGCACGTTGCACAAGGTCCAGGGCGCCACGCTGGCCCACATCACCGTGTGGCTGGACATCCCGAACATGCCCGCCGCCGCGTACGTGGCGCTGAGCCGCGTGGAGTTCGACGCGAACTGACGCTTCCTCGGCGACCCGGGGGTGCACCACTTCACGCCAGCTCGCTTCCACTGAAGGACCCCAGGAAGGGGGCCGCGGGGCGGCCAAGAGAGCAAAGTTGCTTGCTAAATGCTGCGAAGGGCGACCCCGGAGGGCTCAGAGTTTAGGGGCGACCCCGGAGGGCTAAAACCCGGGGTTTTAGGGTATTGACCTTCTAGGTAATTGCACAAGGTCCAGGGCGCCACGCTGGCCCACATCACCGTGTGGCTGGACATCCCGAACATGCCCGCCGCCGCGTACGTGGCGCTGAGCCGCGTGGAGTTCGACGCGAACTGGCGCTTCCTCGGCGACCCGGGAATGCGCCGCTTCACGCCAGCTCGCTTCCACTGAAGGACCCCAGGAAGGGGGCCGCGGGGCGGGCCAAGAGAGCAAAGTTGCTTGCTAAATGCTGCTTCTCGGCGGAAGGGCGACCCCGGATTGCTCAGAGTTTAGGGTATTGACCTTCTAGGTAAGAGCAGCTAGCGCGAGGCTCATTTGGGTGGTGTATAATGGGCATAGCCGAGGGTTGCTTCTAAGCAATCATTTGCCCCATTCTCAAGGCGCCTCCCTCTGCAAATACGAGCCTTCGGAATAAAGCCGCCCGGCGGCGCTGGTTGTGAATATACACCACCCTAGAAATGGGTGGGAAACGGTCTAGGCAGACCGGGTGGGAATTTAGGGTTTAGGGTTTAGGGTTTAGGGTTTAGGGTTTAGGGTCTAGAGGGTATATCAAATGGATTGAGGAAATTTTTGTTAGCTTTCCCACCCACCCAGATTGGTTACCCACAACATAGGAGAGTTTGCTAGTTTCTCCAAATTTCAAGACGGGTCCGCAATCCGCGTTGCAATTGTTAGCTTGGCCCACACAAGCTATCCACGCCAAGGCAGCCGCAGAGATCGACAGCGACTGTCTGGCGCAAGTTTGAAGAAATACTTGCGGCGCGCTCCTGGTCTAGCCTTCGCCAAGAACAACATCTGACCTGTGAAGAACCAAAGGCCAAGGTGACCGAAAGATGCGATTTGCAAAGGAGAAACCCAGGATTTTTTTGCAAAGCAGCTGTTTTTTAAGGAATCTGTCTAAAGGCGACCGAAAGATGACAATCGGCAAAGGAGAAACCCAGGAACTGTTTTTACAAAGCAGCTGTTTTTTTTTAAGGAATCTGTAAAAGTCCGTGCAACTCAGAGTGCGCAGTCAAACGAGACAGCAAGGGTGCTGCGCAACGAAAGGGCAATCTCTGAACGTTTAGGTGTGAAGCAGCTTGAGGCAGAACGAGAACAGTCTAAAGCAGCTTTGTAAATTGGACGCGGTAGGCCGTGCGCGCAAGACCTGTTGATTGGGCTGCCATGTCTTCCAGCGCGAGCGAGGCCCGATAAGAAGCGAAGCAGACGCCGCTTGGCGCCCTGCGCGCGCCGGATGCGGAGCTGCTTGGAAGAGGGGCGCGCTAGCGCGGGCTTTGGAGCGCTTTTGAAAGGCAAGGATTTAGCAAACCTAAGACCTTTCCCTCCCACAGGACAGAGCCCTCTTCTGGGAGAAGAAGAGCCCAGGGGGGGTTCGTCAAATCGATAGCAGAGTCCATTAAGGTTTAAATCTCCATTGAAGAGAAAGATTTAGCAAGTGGCCATGAAGAGGGGCGCGCTAGCGCGGGCTTTGGAGCGCTTTTGAAAGGCAAGGATTTAGCAATCCTAAGACCTTTCCCTCCCGCAGGACAGAGCCCTCTTCTGGGAGAAGAAGAGCCCAAGGGGGCGAACCAAATCGGAAACACTGATACATTAGGGTTTAAATCTCCATTGAAGAGAAGATTTAGCAAGTGGCCATGAAGAGGGGCGCGCTAGCGCGGGCTTTGGAGCGCTTTTGAAAGGCAAGGATTTAGCAATCCTAAGACCTTTCCCTCCCGCAGGACAGAGCCCTATTCTGGGAGAAGAAGAGCCCAAGGGGGCGAACCAAATCGGAAACACTGATACATTAGGGTTTAAATCTCCATTGAAGAGAAGATTTAGCAAGTGGCCATGACGAGGGGCGCGCTAGCGCGGGCTTTGGAGCGCTTTTGAAAGGCAAGGATTTAGCAATCCTAAGACCTTTCCCTCCCACAGGACAGAGCCCTCTACTGGGAGAAGAAGAGCCCAAGGGGGCGAACCAAATCGGAAACACTGATACATTAGGGTTTAAATCTCCATTGAAGAGAAGATTTAGCAAGTGGCCATGAAGAGGGGCGCGCTAGCGCGGGCTTTGGAGCGCTTTTGAAAGGCAAGGATTTAGCAATCCTAAGACCTTTCCCCCCCGCAGGACAGAGCCCTCTTCTGGGAGAAGAAGAGCCCAAGGGGGCGAACCAAATCGGAAACACTGAAACATTAGGGTTTAAATCTCCATTGAAGAGAAGATTTAGCAAGTGGCCATGAAGAGGGGCGCGCTAGCGCGGGCTTTGGAGCGCTTTTGAAAGGCAAGGATTTAGCAATCCTAAGACCTTTCCCTCCCACAGGACAGAGCCCTCTTCTGGGAGAAGAAGAGCCCAAGGGGGCGAACCAAATCGGAAACACTGATACATTAGGGTTTAAATCTCCATTGAAGAGAAGATTTAGCAAGTGGCCATGAAGAGGGGCGCGCTAGCGCGGGCTTTGGAGCGCTTTTGAAAGGCAAGGATTTAGCAATCCTAAGACCTTTCCCTCCCTCAGGACAGAGCCCTCTTCTGGGAGAGGAAGAGCCCAGGGGGGGGGTTCGTCAAATCGATAGCAGAGCCCATTAAGGTTTAAATCTCCATTGAAGAGAAGATTTAGCAAGTGGCCATGAAGAGGGGCGCGCTAGCGCGGCTTTGGAGCGCTTTTGAAAGGCAAGGATTTAGCAATCCTAAGACCTTTCCCTCCCACAGGACAGAGCCCTCTTCTGGGAGAAGAAGAGCCCAGGGGGGGTTCGTCAAATCGATAGCAGAGTCCATTAAGGTTTAAATCTCCATTGAAGAGAAGATTTAGCAAGTGGCCATGAAGAGGGGCGCGCTAGCGCGGGCTTTGGAGCGCTTTTGAAAGGCAAGGATTTAGCAATCCTATGACCTTTCCCTCCCACAGGACAGAGCCCTCTTCTGGGAGAAGAAGAGCCCAGGGGGGGTTCGTCAAATCGATAGCAGAGTCCATTAAGGTTTAAATCTCCATTGAAGAGAAGATTTAGCAAATGGCCATGAAGAGGGGCGCGCTAGCGCGGGCTTTGGAGCGCTTTTGAAAGGCAAGGATTTAGCAATCCTAAGACCTTTCCCTCCCACAGGACAGAGCCCTCTTCTGGGAGAAGAAGAGCCCAAAGGGGCGAACCAAATCGGAAACACTGATACATTAGGGTTTAAATCTCCATTGAAGAGAAGATTTAGCAAGTGGCCATGAAGAGGGGCGCGCTAGCGCGGGCTTTGGAGCGCTTTTGAAAGGCAAGGATTTAGCAATCCTAAGACCTTTCCCTCCCACAGGACAGAGCCCTCTTCAGGGAGAAGAAGAGCCCAAGGGGGCGAACCAAATCGGAAACACTGATACATTAGGGTTTAAATCTCCATTGAAGAGAAGATTTAGGGTTTAGGGTCTAGAGGGTATATCAAATGGATTGAGAAAGTTTTGTGTTAGCTATCCCACCCACCCAGATTGGTTACCCACAACATAGGAGAGTTTGTTAGTTTCCTCAAATTTCAAGACGGGGGTTGCAAGCGATAAACTCCCCAACTCTGGAAGCCCGGTTGCTTACGCTGGAAGTCATTGCATGCTCGGTTGCTTTTTTTGTTGCTCCGCACGAAGGACCCAAGATTTTAAAAGATCCTAGATTCAAGATAAAGAGGAGAGACAAATGACTTACATTTCAAACAAGGATTGTTATTTTTACATCGCGCAGTTTATTAGAGGACAGAGTCAAGAAGAGGCTTTGAGCCAGCCCGGGACAGAGCCGAGGCATTTCGGCTATTTTTACATCGCGCCGGTATGAACAGTTTATCAGCGGCTGGCCAAGCCCAGAAACGAGCCAAATGACCAGATCTTTACATTTCAAGCCAAGCTGGCCGTTTTGACATTGCGTCGTATGAAAAGTTTATCAGCGGCTGGCTAAGCCCAGAAAGGAGCCAAATGACCAGATCTTTACATAGCTGGCCGTTTTGACATTGCGCCATACGAACAGTTTATCAGCGGCTGGCCAAGCCAAGATTTTGACATTGCGCCATATGAACAGTTTATCAGCGGCAGGCCAAGCCCAGAAAGGAGCCAAATGACCAGATCTTTACATTTCAAGCCAAGCTGGCCATTTTGACATTGCGCCGTATGAGCAGTTTATCAGCGGCTGGCCAAGCCCAGAAAGGAGCCAAATGACCCGATCTTTACATTTCAAGCCAAGGCCGTTTTGACATTGCGCCATATGAGCAGTTTATCAGCGGCTGTCCAAGCCCAGAAAGGGACCAAATGACAAGATCTTTACATTTCAAGCCCAGCTGGCCGTTTTGACATTGCGCCGTATGAACAGTTTATCAGCGGCTGGCCAAGCCCAGAAAGGAGCCAAATGACCAGATCTTTACAGTTCAAGCCCAGCTGGCCGTTTTGACATTGCGCCATATGAACAGTTTATCAGCGGCAGGCCAAGCCCAGAAAGGAACCAAATGACCAGATCTTTTACAGACCAAGCCCAGCTGGCCGTTTTGACATTGCGCCATATGAAGAGTTTAACAGCGGCTAGCCAAGCCCAGAAAGGAGCCAAATGACCAGATCTTTACACTTCAATCCAAGCTGGCCGTTTTGACATTGCGCCATATGAGCAGTTTATCAGCGGCAGGCCAAGCCCAGAAAGGAGCCAAATGACCAGATCTTTACATTTTGAGCCTGGATGGCCATTTTTATATTGCGCCATATGAACAGTTTATCAGCGGCTGGCCAAGCCCAGAAAGAATGGATTTGAAGAAAAAAGGAGCAAGCTTTTGAGCTGGCCCAGAACAGGGCCAAGGCAACTCCTAAGACCTTTCCCTTCCCAAAAGAAG